CTACCTACGTACCTGCACACTCTCTCTCCCTACCTACCTACTGTATTTCTCTCTCTCTCTCTCTCTATCCCTCTACCTACCTACCTACTCTCTCTCTCTCTCCCTCCCTATCTACTGTATTTCTTTCTATTTCTATCTCTCTAGCCCTCTACCTACCTACCTACACACTCCCTCTACCTACGTACCTGCACACTCTCTCTCCCTACCTACCTACTGTATTTCTCTCTCTCTCTCTCTCTATCCCTCTACCTACCTACCTACTCTCTCTCTCTCTCCCTCCCTATCTACTGTATTTCTTTCTATTTCTATCTCTCTAGCCCTCTACCTACCTACCTACACACTCCCTCTACCTACGTACCTGCACACTCTCTCTCCCTACCTACCTACTGTATTTCTCTCTCTCTCTCTCTCTAGCCCTCTACCTACCTACCTACTCTCTCTCTCTCTCCCTCCCTATCTACTGTATTTCTTTCTATTTCTATCTCTCTAGCCCTCTACCTACCTACCTACACACTCCCTCTACCTACGTACCTGCACACTCTCTCTCCCTACCTACCTACTGTATTTCTCTTATCTATCTATCTCTATTTCTCTCTATCCCTTTACCTACCTACCTACAGTACTCTACCTACCTACCTACCTATTGTATTTCTCTTTCTTTCTATCCCTCTCTAACCCTCTATCTACCTACCTACTTTTTTTAAAAAATTGCCTCTTCAAAATCTTGGTGCGTCTTATACTCCGGTGCATCTTATACTCCGAAAAATACAGTATACATGTCTAATTAGTAATTTCATAGCTTCTTAAAATGTCATGGTTTGCAGGTACTCAATATTTCATTTAATTTTGTAGTGATACCATTGAAACAATAGTAATACACATTGACAATTTATGCAGTAAAACATTCATTGAGTGGGCTTCAATTTGTTAATTGATTACATTAATTACCTTTGTTCTTCTGTTTTGGTTGCTCTCTTTAAATAAGAGAATTCAACAGCGGAATATTTTTATTTAAATCTTAAATGAGTATACCGAGGGGACTTTTTCAAAAGGCAACTGCACTTTGTTTTTCTTTGAGGACATTTCACTTCTTATCCAAGAAGCTTCTTCAGTAGTCACTGTCAGAACTGGTCAGAACTGAAGAAACTTCTTCATTTCTTCAAGGAAAAACAAAGTCCAGTTGCCTTTTGAAAAAGCACTCTTGGGACAACCATGACCTAGATGACTGACAATCTCCATAGACATCTTGAATGACTAGCATATTTCAGCTGCTAAATTGAGGTGAATGATAATGGCTTCCACATGAGTAACACTATGCTATGTGATCATTCAAAGATAGTCAGAAAACAGGACAGAAATAATAGAAAGATGTAACGAAAGTCACATTTGACCTTCTTTGTGACTTGCTTGCTCTAACTCAAGTCTTCCTATCCTTCCCCCACAATATGAGGTTTTGATAGAAGAGGATGATAATATGGTACTTTTGTGGATTTTTTGCCCCTGGTGATTCTTGGTTTTCTCTAAGGCCAATTCACAAGATTCTTTTTAAACAGTGATATGTTTGTTGTATAATGTGCTTCCTGAAACATAGTAATCCATGTTACTAGATTATTTGCTTGTCAGCAGCTGAGTAGAAACCTCAGGGCCACGACTGCACTTTCACCATTATTTGCAATTAAGTGATATTTCCCAGAGTTAGAAATACTTTTATGTTATTTTAGATTTTGCTTATCTTGATTTTTTTTAAAGTTATTTTCGGACTTCTGTAGATTTCTCAATACCTCTTGGTGCTGTTTTGCAGGTTACTTTGTAGAGTCACATCACTATAGAGTAATTTACTCCAAAGGTTATATTTGTCTTATATGTCCAATGCAAAATTATCTTTTAAGAATATTACAAATGATCTCTTTGTATAAAATGGCAGTAGACAAATTGGATAACACCAGAATTTTTGACTCTGTGCTTACTTTATTGCATTAAACATTAAAGTTCATTACTACTATGCTTTTTTTTACTAAGCTGCTCTTCATTTGGGCTGCATGTGACCATTCATTCACTTTTTCAGCAATAGACAGATGGGGATAAGGTTGAGGAGAATGAGCAACTGTCTACAGCTGGTGTTTGTACAGATGACATAATCAGCACTGTTTATTTGAGTAGGATAAGTGGCAGCAGCTTACATTTTAGAGACAGGATTCTAAAGAAAACCGAGCTCTTGCAAATAGAAAGAGGATGCCATTTTTGGAGACAACAAAAACATTATGATATTCACATATTGAGTTTATGACAGAAGTGCTCCTGTCAGCAGAATTAAAAGATGAGTTCTTTCCTCTGGACATCTTTAAATCTGAGTATAGGACTTGATTTTAGGAGTGGAGAGAGAGGAGGAGCAGGAGCAATTCCCATGTTATAAGTAGATTACCACTTGACACTCAATTATGCCCATTTACATATAAGCTTCATGAATGTAAAATCACCGGCTCAAAATTGATATAGTAGAGGAAACTTGTAATATGAAATGAATTATATTTCAAAAAGCAGTCTGCCTTTGATTTCTTAACTCAGCAAAAGCTCACCAAAATTAAAACACAAGTAAATATAGAGAAATTATGTCAGTCTAAACAATTCTGCCTTTTAGTGGAATGATTTAACTTGTTATCCAAAGTTTTGAGCAGTTAGGAAGAACTTGTAGAGAATCATGAATCATTAAGGTGGTGGGGTGGTAAATCACTACATGGTTTTATTTATTATTTAAAACTTTTATGTAGACTAAATATTTTTATGTTTAGTGCTGTCAGGCAGTCACTCTTGAGAATAGGGTGGTGCAAGCAATGATAGAGGCAACACATTTTGGGAATATGATGCTGCTGCTTTGCAGGCTGTACTGGTTGCCAGTTTGCTTCTGGGGACAATTCAAGAGGCTAGTTATCACCTTAAAACCCTTCCTGGCATAGAGCCTGCTATCTCAAATATCTCCAGTTGCTTCTGCCCATCTGGTTTGGTCCAGCAGTGAGATGTGCTCTGAGTCTCATCAATTAAAAAATACATTGTTACAGAAAGCCAGCATTCTTGGTTGCAATTTCTGTCCTGCGCCATGATCTGCCCCCAGACATTTGTGTGGCTCCTGCCCTTATGCCTATCAGGAAATTACTGGCAATATGATTGTTCTCCCGGGCTTTGAATATAGATGCTTGTAGAGTCTCTTTTTAGTTTGGGTTTAGTTTTGGTTTGTTTGTTTGTTGTGCTTTGCTCTTTTGTTTAGAATGTTTAGAATGTTTATTATAATTTATAGGCCGCCCTTTTCCCTGAGGGGACTCAGGGCGGCTTACAAAACACGGGGANAAAATTGAGCAAAAAAACGGGCTGTTTCGGGAAGCAAGACTGCTGTATTCGGTGTATAAGACGCACCCAGATTTTCAGCCTCTTTTTTGAGGAAAAAAGGTTTGTGTTATACTCTGAAAAATATGGTAAATATTTTAAAGGGAGAAGAGAAATTAAAAAGGGACATGGACAGGGAAATAGAGAGGAACACGGAACTCTGGAATCTTTAAGTTGATTTGCATTCAGCATATTTTTTGTATCACTCTGGTTAGCCCACTTGGAAAGAAGCACAGTGGAGGAATTCTCTGTTGATGCTTCATCTGCTGTCTCATAAGTCATGGTTATCCATCTTTCTATGGAGTGATTCCAATGCATTCTTACAGACAGTGTCTTAATGCTTACGTCAATTCTTAAGATTAAGGTAGGATAAGAAGCAATGGATAGAGACTAATCAAGGAGAGAATCAACCTATTCCCGTCAGAACAATTACTCAGTGGAACTTCAGAAGTTCTGGACGTTCCATCACCAGAGGTTTTTAAGCATTTGTCTGAAATACTATAGGGTCTTCTGCTTGAGCGAGGTTTTGGACTAGAAGACCTCCAAGGTTCCTTCCAACTCTGTTACTCTTATTCTGATTCTTAAAAGTAAAGTCTGATTTTATCAGGAAAGCATACATGTTCTAAACATTATGTAAGTACAGATCTGCTAAATTCATAAGTAAAACTTCTGTAAATGGGACAAAGTAGCGTGTGTGTTTTCATTCTTCTGATACTTCCTCATTGTGGATGATGTTATTTTCCCTTTCAGATGCTAAATGGCTACCTGTTAAAAATTAGTTCTCTAATGCCATTTGATTTTTTTTCTTTTAGATTGGTACACAAAATAGTCTAGAGCTCCTGGAAGACCCAAAAGCAGAGGTTGTGGATGAGATTGCTGCAAAACTTGGCCTAAGAAAGGTATAGAAATACATTGGAGTCAAAATGCTGAAGGAAATTTCTTTATACAAGGGAAGAAAACCTTACTAAGTACCAAAAAAAAAAAAATGACAAATCATTTTGTCAATATGCAATTTATACAAACCATATTGCAATGTAATTGTATTGCAATTGTGTAAAAGTATATGTATTTTAAAGAAAAGAAATATTTTATAATAAGATATCTGACAAACAAAAAAATCCCTATCTGCCTAATGGAGGAAAAAAGGGAGAAATCCAAAAAAGAAAAAAGGAATAACAAGTCTGCATTAAATAAATAAATAATTTATTAAATAAATAAAAAAACTACCCCATTATACTAAAATATAAAAGAAAAACGTTTTTAAAAGTTACGTACTGTTAAAATTATATAATCATCATTATATTTCAATTTTAAACTATATTAATATGTTTAATTTTGACTTGCATTTTGATTACCTTTATCTAAAGACTGCCAGTCATTCTTTTTAATTGTGGCACATCTGCTTTCAGATCAATATTTTTTTTTCTTATATAGGTGGAGGTAATTTATATTGTTAATCCCTGTTCCAGAGAAATAAAATAGATTTTATTTCCTGGAGTTTGAGAATTTTTAATCCAGGGACAACAAATGACATGACAAAATATTAAGTTGGATTTATGCAAACTTCTTTATACATGGAATTTTCCTTTTTGGCTGTAAGTTTGTTTTCTCATATTTGCTAACCTTTTGGGCTGGTAAATATGTTTGGAATTTTGAGAGTGCTGACAATTTTTTCACAAAATGCCATGAGGGGCTACGTCAAAAAACTATTTTCACAGAAAACAAATCAGCGTGATTATAGGAAAGTAACAATTGGACAAGAACCCAAAGGTGAGACAAGTGGGAATAAGCTAAAATCGAAAAGTTTTTTTTTTATCACATAGCATTATTTATATATTTGGATTGAATGACATTCCAGTTGATCAGACTTTTAGCAGTTTACAATTTCTTCTTTCAGTAATTAGAATTAAAATAGTGGTATATAAGGTAATAATGAAGTAAAATATAATTCTAATAAACACCCATGAGCTCAGCACTCATCAAACTTTCACTTTGGATCAGCCACACTTCTATTCCACTCACAGAAACTGTGCAGAAGAACCCTATTTTTTACCATTCCCTCAAGCACTAATAGGGATGGACTGTCCTTACCTGTAGGGCGGGGTCCCCAAACCCCGTTCCGTGGACTGGCATCAGGCCATGGCATGCCAGAAACCGGTCCACACAAACGAGCGAAGCCCCATCCGTGGGATGCAGGCAGCATGTGAAACCACGCCCCCTCCGGTCCGTGGAAAGATTTCTCTCCATGGAACCAGTCCCTGGTACCCAAAAGATTGGGGGCTACTGCTCTAGGGATAATGTGCTGTAGAAGAGGAGGCCATAACACAGGGCGCCCTTGACAATATTTTCTCAAATGTGGGACCCATAACGTGCCTTCCCTCACAGATCTTACCTGTTGGTCAGATTCCATAAGCAGGCAGTCACGAAAGATGTACAGCTCCTAAGCTCCTAGACCTGAATGAAAAGATTTAATCTTGCTTTTTAGATTAATTAATATAAAAATTGAATATTGAGAAAAGTTCTGTGAACAACTCTTGGTTTTGCTGTCTAAATCATAGAAGACTAAATACCTTTTTTTTTTTTTGCAAGGAGTCTGAAAAGTAGGAACCCTGTAGAAGTCATCAGATCTATTCATAAGGGAGCCTAAAACTGCAGGTCTTACCAGCCGGCACTATAAAATGTATTCAAATTAATTCTGCAATGCTAGATAAATATTTTTTCCCCCCAGACAGCTGTGAAGAATATTTTCCCCAAGGAATTTATATAACGGAGGCCATATTGTACTAACTAGGATGGGCAACATTTTTAAATAAAACAATAAATAAATAAATAAATAAATAAATAAATAAATAAATAAATAAATAAATAAATAAATAAATGTATATGTATTTTGTTTTAAGGTTGGCTGGATATTCACAGATCTGGTTTCAGAGGACACACGGAAGGGGACTGTTCGCTACAGCCGAAACAAAGTAAGAATTTTTTCTTCTTTAATTTGCTTCTGGTTTTACAGCAAATATTGTATCATCTAGATGCACAATTCATGAGGAACAGGAGTTCAAAAGAAATCCTGTGATGGATATGCAGGATTTTTATACAGAAGAAATATGTAGCACATTTTAATACTATATCTCACAACATATTTCCCTTTCCCTTCAATAAAAAGCTAAAGTCTCATTTGAATTGGGCTTTGTTCTTGGCAATCTGTACAGCTCCATGTAGTTTTCCTGGCAAAAAAAAATATGGAAATGGTTTAGCAATATAGCAATAGCAGTAGACTTATATACCGCTTCATAGGCCTTTCAGGCCTCTCTAAGCGGTTTACAGA